TTTTTTCAGTGCCCATTACCCAACTTACCTCTGTCAGCTCCCAGGTGATGCTAATAGTCCAACACAATCCATAGCTGCGAATCAACAAAGCCTTCATTGCCCAGCCCCAGAAATGCCCAAAAGCAAATATGTCAAAATGACTTAGGATTCGTTCCCAGGTAATAACATGGCAATTCACAGCATATTCCTGTTGATGATTAAGAAAGAATGTAGAGAAGAGAGACAAATAAGGCAACAGAAACTGAAATTTATTTTAGAATAATTTTAGATGAAATAGAATACACTATTAAAATACTATTCTTTTCTGTAGCTCAGCCTTGTCCAGAAGCTACACTATGTATCTGGATAACATCATGAACTATTAGACAACACTAAGATGCCTCTTCATACAATATTAACTCACACGTTTGCTCACAAAATAGAAACATGACTTTAAAAGAAAAAGTGTGAGGATTAATCTAAATAATTCTGGATATGACTAACTAAATTCACACCAAGATAAACTAGATTCTTGACCAAAAATAATTATTTTTATTCTTAAATAAGATTAGGTTGTAAGTCAACCCTGCCAAGGCTGGGAGACTTTCCATATTTGGTCCTGGATGGATAATCCTGTCTTGTTCAGACTCAGTATGCAATCTGAGAATCCTCCTGGACTCACAACTCCTGCTCAAAGCTCTTTGAGATGGGGGGAGGGGGGGCTTTGCACATCTGCATCATGCTGTACCTATTCATGCCTGCAAGGCCTTGCTTAAGATCACTCTTGCCTAAGTCATCTCCTGATTGGACTACTGCAATGCACTCTATACGGAGCTGCCCTTAAGGTTCATCCACAAGCTTCAATTGGTCCTGAAGGCAATGGCACAGGTAGTAATGGGCATAGTTCTCTACACTCATGTGACACTGCTACTCCATGAGCTGCACTGGCTCCCAAAAGGCTTCAGAGGGCAATTCAAAGTGCTGATCACCTTTTCAGCCCTATATGGCATAGGACCAAATTACCAGCAGGATCACCTGCTCCCAAGAACATCTGCCCAGCCTTATGCTCCCATAAGGAGGGCATGTTTCTTAGGTGAACATTGCTATTTAATGGAACCTAGGAAATGGGCTGTCTCAGTGGCTGCCCATCTGAAATTATATCTCCCTCTCGAGATTTGTCAGGCTCCAGCTCTGTTCATCTTTAGAAAAGCTGTTAAGATCTGGCTTTTCCCCAGGTGTTTGGGTCCAGTTCAGTGGAGTCCCCTGTTTTATGACTATTTTTTTCTGTTTGTTTATAATACACCACTCGGTTACATTATTTAAATCAGGCAGCCACGTAAAGCATATCACATAAATAAACACCAAACTAGATACAAATAAATGGTTGTTTTTTTTTGCTGTTTTCAGGTTGGCAGTCTTTTAAAAAAAAGAAAGGCACTAAAGCTGCAGGTATCAGAAGTTTGGCATCCAGTGGAATACACCGACTAGGGCTTAGCAAAGATATGCAACAGATGCCTTCCAAACCTGCCTCTTGAAGCACTAAAATGCTTAGTTCTCTTGAAGAGTGGGCACAGCTGCTTCAAAAGCCACCCTAAATATCTGTGCACCCCTATGCATGCAGGGAACACAGGAGAATTGCTTAGAAAGCCAAAGAGAAACTATGAGAAGATGCAACACTTAAACACTTGCAGAAGTAGATTCAGAGGGATGCTTCACTTAACTCCTATAGACTTAGTTATTACTTTTATTAGACACAGCATGTCTTCAAGTCTACAATCCATCCATCAAAAAACTCTACACAAATTAAATAAACACAGAATCTTTAACCACTCCTCGTAAGTCTTGGTTCCTGGAACATTCACCATCCTCTGAGAGCCCAACTGTGAATGTGATCCAATTTGTGACTACCTTTTTTGAATGGGGATGCTTCTAATGGAATTTTACCAGGGCAGAGCGGAGTAGAATAATTCCTTCCTGTAATCGGGACTCCAGGTTCTTGTTAATTATCCCAAAATAGTATTTGGGTTTTTTTTAACAGCAACTTCAAACTGCTGGGTCATGTTTGTCTACTGTTGCTAACTCACATGGTATTACTAGGGTCAAGACACCAAAATGTTCATTACAACGCTATCAGTGTACGGTACACACCATAATGTCTGCTTCTCTTGTCGCATATCGTAGGTTGGGATCCAACCAGTACATCACTGATTTCACTTGTTCAAAGTTAAGGAAGAGCAGGAATACCAGAAACAGAAAATAAAGTACACTCAAACCTAAAAGACAATAATACTTTCGGTGAGTGGCTGTTTAACGTACCACACGCAAAAGAAATATGCACGCATGCACAAGCAAAGTTCATCAGGAAAAAAAGATCAAAATACTTTACTGTCTTAAGGCTCCTAAATTGAGGTCTGTATTTTTATACGAACTTTCAAGGTCACAGATTTTTCAAAAAGAAAATGAAGAAAGAAAAGGGAGCTTAGCAAAACATACAGAAGTATTAGTACAACTCTGATTATTTGTATAGCTTACTCATACTCCTCCAGCACATGACAATTCTGCTAGGTTGCTACCCAACTAATTACCAAGGAGAAACTAGGCAAGGTGAGAAGGGTCAGATACAAATAAAAAGGCAAACATTTGGAAAGAAAGAAATCAAGAGCTATAATCCAGCTGTAGCTGTTACATTTGCCTGAAGATTATGTTCTTTCAAAAGGAACTTGACACTCAGCAGGTCACATCCTATTTTCCAAAGTCCATTGCAAAATTCACACTGAAGTGACAATAAATAAAAGGCTTGCTCTGCCATCTTTTCTTCTAACACTAATCAGGCATTGTGTCCATTCTCTTATTATTTAATGACCAATGTTCCTTTTTAAGAAATCCAACATGCTCACATATGGTGGCTTAAAAGTTTGTGATTCTTTCTGAATTTGAATTTGACAAAATTGAAAGAAGTAAAAACTAATAATGTTCAAAAAGGATCTTAATTTAAAAAAGGCCAGTTATAGTAAAAAAAAATCAATGTATAAATTAATCTCCATTTTTTAACCCTTCCTACTCTTGGAGCTGAGTTTTTATTTTAAATATTGGCTATATTGTGAACCACTTGTAAACATTTTTCACACTTAGACTTTAATAAATTATGTTATGTTTCGATGATTATATTGCATGCCATTCAGTGAACATTTAGAAGAACCGAGTACAAGTAAATTATTAGTGTAATCTATAAAAGCATTCAATAGAAATTAATGTGTGAATACAGTATGTCAGTACCATCACAGTTTGAGACTGCAAATTGTATTATATGATGAATTATTTTAAAGCTTATTCCAAAAATTCTAATTGGTTTTATTTATTTATTAAACAAATTTATATAGCCACACAACTCACACATCAGTGAGTTCTTAAGAACATTAAGATTGTAAAAGGGAAAAACTTTCTCACAATATCTGAATATTATAACATACCTTTGCAATAACACAGATAGCATAAAATATATTCTACTATAAAATGGATTGTTGAAAGATACCCAGAAATCTGTAACAATGGAAAGTTATACCTTGAAAATGACTTACCAAATACCATGCGCCATATTGCTGGGTGTGGGCGGGTGAAAGGGCCTGTAGAAAGAAAAGTATGATTGCTGAAAATGATCTGATAGTTAAGCATTGAAATAATATATCTAACATTAAGGCTTATCCTCACAGCCTGATTGCCTTGATGCAAAGACATCTTACTAACCATTTCGTGGCGACATGTGCTCATGACATCACTTCAATCTCATCTTCAGCCCATTGCTGAGGTATCCTAAAACCATCTTTGGTTATTAAATTTTAGAAGTGATGTTTTCCTTCTTTGTTTACTTTATTATTAATCATATTTATATAGCTGCCCATCTCACCAAAAGTGGCTCTTGATGATGCACAATAGATAACACAGAACATATTAAAAACAACAATTATAAACATAAAAATCATAGTAATAAGTATCCTAACAACAAACGATAAGAGAAGGAGAATAAGAAATGGCCCCCTCAACAATGGAGGTATCCAGACAAATCTCTAGTTGTCTCCAAGATTCCATGGCAACAATCTAAGGTGCCTAGACCCATGGACAAATTCTGTTTACTTATATCTGGCCAAGCAATTGCTGTGCGATCACTGCTTTCCCATCCTACCCAATTTCTAGTTACTCTATCCTTATTGCCATTTTGTCTTGGTTGCACAGATGTTGGACAGTAAAATCCCAATGTATTTAGTGTTTCCAATCAGCTGTCATTTCTCCCCCCCCTCCTTTTTTATTTTGATGTAGGGACAGAAACAATTATATCAAGCATAGGAGTGGGGAAATAGCAGCCAAGAAAATCAGGAACAGTTTTATAGGAAGAAAACCTCAATCTGGAGTTAGGATGCTAGGATCTGGGTTCCAAATCTTTCTGGATTTTCAAACCACAGATGGTTCCAATTATGAGATGAGAAATTGATATATCTGCCTTATATCTTAATGTGGTGCATTTCCCTTGAAGATGTTTCTATTGACTCCTGGCAGAAACCCATGCTGATTTTGAATGACTTAATATTTGATCTTGATCTTCATCTCTCAGAAGAACTCTTTATCACTCAATCTTTCATATCTTCCAGAAGACTAGGAATTTGATATTCCAACAGGAAGAAAGTAGACATATGTGTAGTTTCCCAGCATCAGCTCACTAGATTTCACAGATAGGAATTGGTGGGGGGAGGGGGATTCTGCAAACAGGCAACACTAGGAATAGACCACTTACTACCAATTGCTTTCAGTGTCATGAACTAAAACTTTATGGCTAATAACAGGGACCAGCCTATTCCTGAGAATTAATAAAAACAGTGGCAGAAACACAATTTATGGTGTTGCTCCTTCCTCATGACTCAAGGATGGGAGGAAAACATATTAAAGCAGTTGCCTGGACAAGCCCTTAGTTTGAAACCGGGGCAAAACCTTAAGAGCATATAAGATTCTCATTAAAGTCATTTAAAAACATTCTATGCTTGCTAGCATGTTCTTAGAATTTGTCAAAGACCTCTCAGAATTATTATGGCAACTAAATCCAAGACTTTTGGATCTTGAGAATAATCACTAACAAGTTACAATCTCATTCTCTTCCACAAATGAGGCAATAATCTACAAAGAAGTAAACATTCATCGGAGAAGATTGCAATGTAGAAGAGATCATTATAGTAATACATTTAATTGTTGATTAGGATAGATCAGGGGTAGGCAACCTTGGCTCTTTTATGACTCGTGGACTTCAACTCCCAGAATTCCTGAGCCAGCACCATAAAAAATACCTTACTAATGAAGCATCCATAACTAAACCTGAGGTCCATATGCATTGATTGACATACACTAAAAGATTCTGCATATGCGAGCACCTCAGTATATATATATTTATTTATTATTATTTATTTATTAATCACATTTATATCCCGCCCTTCTCCTAGTGGACTCAGGGCGGCTTACAGCCAGTTTAAAACGGAATAACAATACAATATACAAATTTAAAATGTGGTTAAAATAAAATATTAATATAGGCCTTTCTTTTTTTAAAAAAATATTTAAAAACCAAATTTAAAATACCCCTTAGGCCAGTCCTGCCAGCTGAAATAACCATGTCTTGAGGGCGCGGCGGAAGGAGGGGAGATCCGGAATCACCCGGATCTCTGGGGGTAGTTCGTTCCAGAGGGTGGGGGCTCCGACAGAGAAGGCTCTCCCCCTGGGGGTCGCCAACCGACACTGTCTGGTTGACGGCACCCTGAGGAG